GGGCCAGCGTGGGCCCCAAGCCAGCCGGAGCCGGACAGCAGGTGGACAGAGGCCTCCTTGCGCCGTGGCTCACAGCGGACCTCATACTCGTGAACGTCGGCCTGCCCGCCGGCCGAGAAGTCGATGTGCAGCACGCTGACGATCACCACCGTGCCATTTCTCCTCTGTGGGTCATGGGGCACTCGCTTACAGAGGGGCTTGGGCTGCCCTGTGCCCCTAGATGTGTGTGTGGGTCTCATGGTCAAGGGGGCAGAGTCCCAGCAGCCTGGGTTCTAGTCCTGGCTCGTCTAGTGACTCCCTTCCCACTCAGAGCCTCAGAGTCCCCCTCTGTCAAAGGGCACTATGGAAATGGACTGTCCAGAAGGACAATATCAGGTCTCACGGGGCAGTGTCTGCTCTGGCTTCAAGGAGCAGGGCTGAAGAACCTCAGTAATGACAGCAGCAGCTGACTTTGGGGGTGTTTACCATGTTCTAGGCCCCGTATTTTAAGTGCATTATCTCATTTAATTCTCTCAACAACCCTTTCTCTCTCTCTCTCTCTCTCTCTCTCTCTCTCAACTGCCAAAGGGTGCGTGCACTCATCAGAGAGACTCATATTCCAAGTCGTCAGGGCCAAGATTCAAACCACATGGTTGGCCATGTGGGACCCAACTCCCTTAACCATTAGGCCATGGGGCCACCCCATAGAACCCTCTTCTATTGGTACCATTAACAGCCCCCTTTCAGGGGCCAGCAGGTGTCCTGGTGAGTAAGGTGCTATATCCCACATGGCAGACTGAGCAGTTCAAGTACCGGACCCGGTGGCTTAAACGCTTCAGGCACATGTGTGTGCATGCCCAAAATCCCAAGAGGAGAATGGAGGAGAAGGGACTATGGCATGGCCCTCCCTTATGGGGGGTGATTTCTCAATTTCCCTCTCTCTCTGTCTCTCTCCAGCGAGTGAACGTGCCCTATGGCATAAAAAAATCTAATTTTTTTTTAATTTCTATTTTATAGATGAGGAAACGGAAGCCTAGAGGTCTCTCCCACCTTTGGGCTGTTGGTACCATGTCCCCAAAGGGAGCACTTAGCCTCTTTGCCTCCCGACCCTCTCAGGAGAACATGGGTCCTGACTTTTTGGGATACAGAATCAGGACACTGGGCCAAAAAGACAGGACCCCGAGAGAGGCCCAAAGTTAATCTATATAGTAAGGAGGGAGGGACACGCATATAGGACGGGACTGAGGGGAGGGTGAGGGGATTGGATGAGCGAGAGACTGGAGAAGGAAAGGAAGCCTCCCGAGGTGCGCCATGTGTGACTGTGAAGTTGTCTCTGAAGGGTTCAAAGGTTGGCAATGCTTCTTTATTGCTCTTGGCCGCTTGAGCTGAGCCTCTTTTTTTTTTTTTTTTGGAGAGATTTTTGCTAGAGGATGAGTGCACTCACCAGAAAGACAGAGAGAGACAGAGAGAGAGAAAGCAAGAAATCCCCCCCCAGGGGGGATGGCCACGCCGCAATCCCTACTCCTCCATTCTCCTCTCGGGATCTTGGGCACGCACGCACACGCACCCGGCGTGAGTTTTAAGCCACCGGGTCTGGGACGCAAACCGCAGTCGACTACGTGGGAGTCCAGCGACACAGCTGTTACACTACCTGCTGGCCCCTAAGATTTATGAGGGTTTCACTAAGAATCTAAGAGTCTAAGGGTCTCAGATTTTATGCTTCCAACTTGTCATCTCCAAGATTCTAGGGCTCTGGGGTTCTGAATTCTGGTGCTGGTTCCTGACTCTGAGATGCTGAGTGTCTGAGCCCTGGCTCTAGAATTTCAGGAGTCCCTGCCTCTGGAATTCTGTCTCCATCATTCCATGACTCAATGCAATGTGGCTTAGTCCCAAAGAAAATTCCTGGGGGGCCGTAGGGCATGCAGTCGGGGTGAGGACAGAATATCTTGGTGGCCAGGACTGACCCCCACCCCTTTCTTCCCTCAGGTTGCCAGGAGACAGGCAGGGAGGGGGCGGAGGAGGCAGGGGCTGTACCCGGGCATACATCTTGCTAATGCCGGAGCCAGGGTGGCTGCTGGAAAGCACGTGATGTCTGGCAAGTCAGGCTGCAGATCCCCTGATTTCACGGTTCCACGGCTGGGGACTCTCCAAGAGAGGCCACTGTCCTCTCCCACCCCTTCCTGACTGTCCCTGAGAGTACAGACATCTAAGGTTCTCGGGCTGCCCAGTGACCCTCCCAGGGCCCAGGCCTGGGTTCACACCCTCCCAGATGCAAGGATAATAGGAGAGATTCATCCGTAAGCTTCAGAGCCTTCCGAGGGAGGTGGACACTGTTACCTGAAAAGTCCTTTTGTTCTGTGGAGTCCAGGATGGCTTTGGTTGGCCAGGTAGGGGGGGCCGGGCTGGGCAGTCCTGCATAGTAACAGGGGACCTGGTGCCCCGGGGAGCTTGGAGGGAAGGGGAGGAACTGGAAGGCTGGTGGTGGCTCAGCCCTCGGGCTTTCTCGGGGAGCGGCCAGGGGAGCCTCGGATAGTGGTGTGATGTGCAGTGCAGCCCCTGTCCTCCGTCTCCCCTTTCCCTGTCTACCCTGAGGAAGTCGCTGTGGTAAATAGAGCTGAGAAGGGCTGAGCTCCTCCCCTGGGCTGAGAAGAGAAGCTGAATTCTCTGCAATAGCAGTGCCTTTCTGCAGGGGTCAAAGCCTCTCCCGGGTGCCAGCCCACCTCCCCTGGCTCCTACCTGAGACTCGGTTCCGCAGGTGTCAAAGCGCGCCTGGATGCGGAAGGTGTTGCCCACTTCCTGGGCAGCACAGCTCCGGCTGCCCAGGTAGACCTTGGTGCGCTCTAGCGGGGCCAGCACTTGTGCGGAGATGAGGATCTGGAAGTCCGTGCGGGAGCAGCTCACGTTCATGGGCACCACTGGGAAGGGAGGCAGGAGCTGGAGGCCAGACTGACCCCCACCTCCCCGACAGTCCCCAGGCCTGCAGAGGAAGGAGTGGGAAACGGAGTCCCAGACTGAGGCGGACGACTATGGAGTCCTGCGAGGCAGGGGATGGGCTATTTTCCAGATGTTACCCTGTCTCGCTCCATCAGCCTGGGAGCTCCTGACACTGACTTCCTCAATGTGCCCGAGCCCAGCCGAGTTCGGCAGGCCCGACGGGTGCTGAGTGAATGCCTGAGTGAGTGCTTGGTGGAATGAACCAGTGAGATTTCTTAACGCTAATAAAAGATTTCGCTAATCACTTTGTGTGTGCCTGGCAACTCGTTCATTCAATCATGAAACAATTGTTTTAAGAGAGATTTTTGCTATATAGCACATATGCTCACCAGAGAGACAGACGCAGAGACAGAAAGCGAGAAAGAGACAGAAAGCGAGAAATCACCCCCCAGGAGGGATGGCCATGCCGCAATCTCTTCTCCTCCAGCCTCCTCTCGGGATTTTGGGCACACATGCACACATTCTTGGCGTGATTTTAAGCCACCAGGACTGGGACTTGAACCATGGTCAACTATGTGGGAGTCCAGTGACATAACCATAATGCCATCTGCTAGTTCCTCATTAGACAAATACTGATGGCCTACTAAGTGCAGGCTCAGTGTGAAGTGCCACAGATACAGAAATGGAAAGGAAAAAAGAAAAAAAAAAAAACAGTCAAAAAGTCCTGCAGGGCTTGTGTTCTAGTTGAGGGAGGGTGGTGCAGTACGTAAGCCACACAAATGTCCAAGTGGTCTGAAGGAAAACCACGCGAGTCAAGGAGATGGGCGTGGGGGGCTGGGGCAGGTGCTGGAGGAGCGTGGCAGATTTTTTTTTGTTTTTTGGTTTTCTTTTTTGGAGAGGGTTTTTCGCTATAGGGTGTGTGCGCTTGCCAGACAGACAGAGATAGAGAGACAGAAAGCGAGAAATCACCCCCCCAGGGGGGATGGCCACGCCTCAATCCCTTCTCCTCCATTCTTCTCTCGGGATCTTGGGCACGCACGTACACGCGCCCGGCGTGAGCTTTAGGCCACCAGACCCGGGACGCGAACCGCAGTTGACTACGTGGGAGTCCAGCGACATAGTCATTGCGCTAACTGCTGGTCCCGCAGGACTGCATTTTTGTGAGCGTGTATATGTGTGTGTGTATGTGTGTGTGTGTGTGTGTGTGTAGGGGTCAGCCAGGGGTGAGTGTAGGAGAAAGGGCGGGGGTGGCTGGAGGAGAACAAGGCAAGAGAGCTGGCGTGCGGAGGCCTGGAATTCTCGCCCCCTCTCCGGGAAATGCCTCAGACATAATTCAGCCTCTACTGTCTGGGCAGCCGGGGATTTACGGGCCCGCCATCTCCCACGATGATATCGGTGGCGCAGAGCTGTGTCACCCCTGATTGATGCCGCGGCTGCCCTCCCAGTGAGAAGGCCGCTGCAGCTTGGCCACATCTGGAGCCTCGCCCAGTTGACTGCCCCTGTCTGACCTGGGTCCCACAGGGAGGGACCTGGGGAGGCAAAAAGGTGTGGGTGGAAGTGGGGGATGAAAGTCTCCTGAAGTCCCTGGAACAAAGAGCCGTCCCTACCCTCAGTCTCCAGAGGCACCAAAAACAAAAGGGAATTGATCTAAATCACACAGGGCTGGGAGAGGCCCCAGGTCAGGGGACTTAAAAAATCCTTTGTCTGGGGGACCAGCAGATGGCATAATGGCTACATCACTGGACTCCCATGCGGTTAGAGTTCTGGACCTGGTGTCTTAAACTCACGCTGGGAGCGTGTGCGCGCATGCCCAAGATCCTGAGAGGAAAGTGGAAGAGAAGGGATTGTGGCGTGGCCATCTCCCCTGGGGGGTGATTTCTCGCTTTCTGTCTCTCTGTCTCTCTCTGTCTTTCTGGTGAGTGCACGCGCCCTATAGTGAAAACCTCCCCACCACCACCCCCCCAAAAAAAACTCTTCATCAATATCTTCATTTTACAGGCAGAAAAACTGAGGCTGGGAGAGAGAGGGGCCTGCCCGCTAGCCACGGCCAGCCTCGGTGGAACCTGGCTCCATGGGGCACTCTCACCCACTGTCCCGAACCAGAGCCACAGCTCTCCTGCTCAGTTATGGACAGAGCCACTGAGGCCCAGGGCAGTGGCTCCACCCACGTCACTTCTTGGCCACCAGCTGCTGCGGCTCTCCTTGCTTCTCTGTCCTCTGCTTGGGGAAAGAAAGAGGGAACACCTTCTGAGTGTTGAAAAGGCCTGCGACATGTGGCAGGCATATGGCATTGAGCCGGGCCTTGTGACCTGTGTCACCACAGTTAATCCCGATGACCACCTGTCTCCGGTGAGCCCCACAGATGGTCAGCGATGGCAGCATTTGGATGTGGCCCGGGTCTCTCTGAACTCAGCCTTGGGTTCCCCCCCTCCCCAGCTCTGTGTGCTGCCTAGACACAAAAGGAGGCAGGAAAGTGAGTTCTAGCCCTGGCTGTGCCACTGACTGTCCATGTGACCACAGTAAGGTTCTGTTCCCTCTCGGCATGACGGGGAGCGCTGCCTGGCCAGGTGGAGGGCCAGGGGATGGAGCACAGGCATGTCTGCGTCCACGGCCAGGGAAGGGTGTGGGAAGAAGGGAGATGGTGGATACTCTTGGCTGACGCCTCTCGCCAGCAAAAGCCAAACGTCAGAGCCCAGCCCTCGGGCCTCGTTCAAATCAACGAGACACAAGGAAAACTCCTGTGAGGGCTTCTGGAAATGCATTTGCTTCCTTGATAGAGGGACATTTGTGTCTGGTGTCTCCCCTGTTCCCTATCAGTTTTGTTTTGTTTTAGTTTTGATTACAGGGTCTGTGTGCTTGCTAGAGAGAGACACAGAGAGAGAGAGAGAGAGGGAGAGAGAGAGAGAGAGAGAAAGTGAAAAATCACCCCCCACACACACACACCCCAGGGAGATGGCCATGCCACAATCCCTTTTCCTTCATTCTCCTCTCAGGGATTTTGGACATGCATGCCCACATGCCCAATGTGATTTTCAAGCTGCCAGGTCTGGGACTTGAACCACAGAGTCAGCTATATGGGATCTAGCTTCTTAACCTCCATGCCACCTGCTGGGCCTTCTCTGCCAGTCTTGGACATAGGCATGCTGTCTGGAGTTATGGCAGTCATCTTGCAACCACGAAGCTTGGATACCCCTTTTAGCAGTGCCAAGCCCATTGCCCAGTTCAGCAGCCGTCTCATTCCAGACATCTCGCGGTGGGAGGAAAATCACGTGCTGCTTGTTCAGTCAGCATTTCTGAATGAGACAAGCAGGACTGGCAAGCATCTCCAGAGTTATATCAAGGATTTAGCATATGCAGTATTCCCACGTTGTATATATCACTCCTGAGTACAGGGAACAACTTAGTACGGGAGAGGCCTGGGGCCCATGGAGGAAGGCGCTAGACGGGAAGAAACTGGGAGTCATGAGTCATGGAGTTAGGAGCTGGAAAGGAGAGCCCTTTCCATAGTGGACATTGCCAGGGCCATGCTGGTATGGTCTCAAAGGCCCCAGGAGCTGACAATGGAAGAGCCGACCAGGAAGGGGCTGGGGAAACCCATTCATGGGACGAGATGATGGAATGGAAGAGGAGGCTGCAGAGCCTTGCCTTCCCCGACCAGTGCACCACGCCCTCAGCCCTGGCTGACCTCCAATGTAGGCCACGGAGAAGCCCCTGCGGGTGGTGCTGCGGTCCGTGTGCAGCAGGAGCAGGAGCTCGTTGTGGCTCGAGGTGACGGGTGGTGGCAGGAGGTGGCCACACCACTTCCCCAGCATGGGTGCCTCCTCACTGGCCCCATCGAAGGCTGCCAGATGATCGAAGTCACAGGTCCTGGTCAGGCTGTTGGGCTCCTCCAGTTCTAGGTCTAGGAAGAAGACCTTGACCCGGTAGCCGGGTGGCAGGCGGATGGTCCAGTGGCACCGGATGTTGTTGGGGTAGGAGATGGGGTACTGTGGGCTGGAGAAGTTGCCCCGCACAGCCACATACACCTCCTGGCATTCTCCTAGGTGGGGGAGAGTGGGGAGGAAGGAGCAATGGTGAGGAGGGTGGGGAAGCCGCCCTCTGCAGTTACAGCTTAGGCAGCGTGTCACAGGGCTCCAGCAAGCAACTGCCAGGTCGTGGGCACCAGGGCCAGCCATCTAGACAGCTGGTCCCCAAACCTGCCTTAAACTGGAAGTATCCGAAAGCTGGGACTCTCGTTCCTACTGACAATCCCCTTCAAGGGTGTTGGCCCTGTCAGGAGTTCAGTAAAGAAATCTCACATCTGTCCTCAGAGTGAAGTCCAGCTCCCTAGTGGACAGGCAAGGAAGTGCATGACAGACTGGCCCCTTCTTTCACCGCTGCGTTCGCCCCTTCCATTCCAGCCTTACCAAACATATATGAGCATGTACACGAGCATGCAAAAACCTTCTCTGTCCTCCTTGGCTTTGCATATGCTATTCCTTCTGCTTAGAATACCTTTCCCTTCTTTCTACCTCTGGTTAATTCCTCCACAGCACTGCTCTTTTCTCTCCTCCTCTAGGAAGTCCTCCGTGATTCTTACCATTGATGCCACGAATCTGTTTCCTTATCCATTTCCCCTATTAAACTGTGAACTCCCCCTCGGTTCATTCATTCATTTGTACAGATGCTGAGTATCCACTCCATGCCAGGTATAATCAGGTAAGATCATGAGGAGCTCACAGTCAGGAGACCGATGGGCAAACCATGGACAGAGGTGAGAACCATTAGATCCAAATGGGAAAACCTTCTATGAGGAGTTGCTGGAAGGGATTCACCCTGTGAAGTTGATTTGTTCTGTCTGAGTGAATCAGGAGGTCTTCACAGAGGAGGTGACATGCTTGTGCCTTGGCACTGGCCATACAGGAACATGTGTGCTTGAACATTCTGGGCAGAGCATGCAGAAAGCCCAAGATCCCCCGGGGTCAGGAAAGTGTGACCCGTGTGACCGTCACGGGCAGATGGGAGCCCAGCATGCCCAGGGGGCACAGGTGGCACTCCAGCCTCTCCTACCTGAGAAGTAGTAGGCCTTGAAGCCCCGGCCTCCAATGTTGAAGTCGGACTTGAAGACCACCTGCAGCTCGTGGCCCAGCGACATAACAGTGGGAGGCCTGGCGCTGCCACAGTAGTGGTGCCCATGGGTGGGGCCGGGCCCCCCAAGCACAGCCACGTAGTCATAAGTGCATTCCTCGTTGCCCTCCACCTGGAAGTCCACGAACACCAGCTTGACCGTGGCAGGGCCTGCAGCCCGGATCACCCACCGGCACTCCACGTTGTTGGGGTAGTTGTTGGGGTACTCGGGGCTCGTGAGAACCCCCGACAAGCCAGTCAGGAAGCCGCCACACACATCTGCAAGGGAGTCCGCTTGAACTGAGTTTTCCTGGAGGCTCCCAACTCCCTCCCTTGGGACTCAGCCACACCTGCTCCCACAGGCACCTCACGGGAACCTCATTGCCCCCCACACCCCCCGAACATTCACTAAGTGACAGACACAGGCCGGGCACAGGCGCCTAGCTGTCCTCTTAAATCCTCCCCGCAGTGTAGGACGGACGTGTTTTGTTCTTCCCATTTTATATTTGAGAAAATGGAGGTGCAGATAAGTCGAGTAACTTAATCTGTTGGAGTTTGCCCAGGCAGACTTTGCAGCTCAAGTCCCAGCTTGAAACACGTGTGCATGCCCCAAATCCCCAAAGGACGAAGAAGTGGAGGAGCAAGGATTGCGGCATGACCATGCTCCGTAGGGAGTGCTTTCTCACTTTCCCTGTCTCTCTCTCTCTTTCTGTCTTTCTGTGTCTTTCTTCCGTTAGCGTGCACACCCTCTCGCAATTTTTTTTTGGGAGGAGGGCAGATTATAGGGTGCACGCGCTCACCAGAGAGACAGAGAGAAATGGAGAGAAAGGAAAAAGTGAGAAATCAATCCCCGGGGGAATGGCCACACAGCAATCTGTTCCCCTCCATTCTCTTCTTGGGATTCTGGGCACACATGCACATGCACACAGCATGTTTCAAGCCGCTGGGTCCGGGACTCAAACCACAGTCGGCCATGTGGGAGTCTAGTGACTTAACACTATGCTACCTGTTGGCCTCTCCTCTTTGGCAAAGTGTTAAAACAAATAAACAAACAACAACAACAAAAAAAAACCTCAAAGAGATGAAGAGGTTGGCAGGAGCACATTGAAGTGACAAGGACCAAGGAACATGGGCCCCGACAGGAGGTCACCCAGATGGTGACTGACTGGAAAGGAACCCAAGAAGACATAACTACAGGACCTATGTCCTTGGTCCTGTGACTCCCCACTGTCCTCTCCTAGCAGGCCAGAGGCAGAGGTACTGAGCTCAAGAAAGCGATCGAACCTCCCTAACACTGAGACTGAGAGGAAGACCTGATGAAGCAGAGGGGGGTTGAAGTCTGAGGACAAGGCCGAAGACATCTCTGCCTTTTATTAACTGTGTGACCTGGACAAGTAACCCAGCCTCTCTGAGCCTCAGCAGAATATTAGAAATCCTAAGACCTGCCCAGCCTGATCACTGGACCCAGACTCCCGCCGGGTCTGAAAAGCTGCAGCTGAAAGCCCCAGAAACGCAGCTCAGCTAACACAACAATGAAGCGGGAAGATGAAGCCGAGGTGGCTGGCAGGGAGGGAGCACACGGAGTGTATTTCCTGAGACTCCGGAATCTCGCCTCTGCAGGCTGAGACCGGGGCACTGCACTGGGTGGGCACTGAGGGACTTGCTTTCTTGTCCCCTCCAGCACTGTGTGACCTCGGGAAGGCACATTTCCTTTCTGGGCCTCAGATTTAGTGTTTGTGAAAAGAGAGGGCAGGTTCAGACACTCTGAGGTCCCTTCCAAGGCCAGCGATCTGAGCAGAGGCTTGTAACCTGGGCTCCAGGCTCTCCAGAGACCCTCTGGGACATCTACCGGCTTCTGGTACAAATGAAATTCTTCTGCTGTAGTTCAAACTATCTTTCAATGTCATTAAAAGGCAGCACCCCCGAACCAGCAGATGGCATAGTGGTTATGTTGCAGGACTCCTACGTGGCCAACCCTGGTTCAGGTCCTGGACCCAGCGGCTTGAAATGCATGTCAGGCACATGTGCGTGCGTGCCCAAGATCCCAGGAGGAGAATGGAGGAGAAGGGATTGGGCATGACCATCCCCACCCGGGGCAGGGGGGGTGATTTCTCCCTTTCCCTCTTATTATCTCTGTCTCTCTCTCCTGTGAGCACATGTGCCCTAAGGCAAAAACCTCTAAAAAAGAAAAGAAGCAGCTCCCATAGCCTTGTACCTTATGTGTAAAACTTGAACTCTTCGGAGACATTGACATTGACTCGACGATTGGCTAAAGGCTAGTAAATGCTAAAAATATGAACTTAGGGACCAGCAGATGGTGTAATGTTTATGTCAGTGGACTCCCATGTACTTGACTGTGGTTCGAGTCCCGGACCTAGTGGCTTAAAACCCCTTCGAGGGGTATGCCCTAGATTCTGAGAGGAGAATGGAGAAGGGATTGTGGTGTGGCCATCCTCCCCAGGGGGCAATTGCTCACTTTCTGTCTCTCTGTCTCTCCAGTGAGCACACAAGTCCTGTAGCAAAACCCTCTCTCTCAAAAAAAAAAAAAAAAACACCCCCCTCTCTAAAAAAAAAAAAAAAAAAAAAAAAACTTATAAAATAAATGCACACCGCTAAAATACTGCCTTTGTCTTTTTCATGCCTCGGGAATTAACGGAAGGTTCCATTTGGTAGAAGGGTATTCCTGCCCACACCAATGCTGGAAGTGATAGCTTATAGTATTATAACTTGGCATCCTATTTGAAAAATCGAAGGGTCTAGAATGCCAAAACTCTGATTAGATCAGCCCGAGTCTTGTGCTTCAGCATGCTGCAATTCTGTCTCCAGATAAGCAGGAACTGGGTGTCCTGCCCGAGCCCCAGGATTGTTGTTGGCAGGCCCTGGGGACCGGGAACCTCTGTGGTTGCCCATTGCTGTGCTGACATGGAGAGGCCTTGTGAGAAGCGAGGAGGTGTGGGTCTGTGCACAGAAGCCTGGGGACAAGGAGGAAGGCCAGGAGAGCACGTCCTCTGCTCTCCTGAGACGAGAGGCAGTGGCAAGCCTGGTTGAGGGAAGGTGGAGGGCCCATGGCAGGAGAGTCGCCAGCTGCACGCAGACCCTGGTGCACTGTGTGCTCCTGAGGGCTTAGGGCTTTCTGTGCCATGAGGGGATGGGATGCCGTAGACATCATCAGCAGAGGTAGCAGTGGTGTCCCTCCTGCAGCCCGATGCTGTGACATGGGACAAGGGCAGAACATGAGAGGCCTCATTCCTGAGCATAGCAAGACCCTCTGGGGGCTCCAGGAATGATGGAAAGAGATTGGGGGGTATTGCCATGGGTGAGTACCCACACCACCCAGGGTATGAGTGTGGTCGTGGGCGTGGGGGAGGCTGCCTTTGCCCCGTAAGCATCAGAGCGGGGACCCCTAGGTGGTGAAGCAGCTCTCACACCACAATGCTGAGACCCCGCAGGTGTCCCCTAAAGCCCGCTGCTCCTCCTCCATCCCGCCCCAGGGCCAGTCAGCCCCCACCAAGTCCCCCCTTGACCTTTCTGGTAGCCTGCAGAGAAGCCGCGGCTGGCCACGTGTTTGTCTGAGTGGAAGACGACAGACATGACATGCCAGGAGGAGGTGAAGGGTGGCGGAGGCACCTGGCCACAGAACCTCCCCAGCAGATTGCCCTTGTCTCCCAGGGCCCCGTTGTAGATCTCCAGGAAGTCGAAGCTGCAGGTGTCATGGTACTCCAGGTCGAAGGTGTGGAAGGTGAGCAGCACAGAGGACCCCTCAGCCACCACAATCAGCCAGTTGCACTCTGTGTTGTAGGGGTACAGCCTAGGAAAGTTGGGGCTGGAGAAGTTTCCGGAAGGTGCTGAGAGCACACCCCCACATTTAACACCTGGAACGAGAGAGTGATGGCTCAGAGTCAGTGCCGGGGTCTTAGGTATGTGGCGGGAGTGGCGGCCCAGCTCCAGAGCTGGGTCTGTGGGGTGGGCTGAGAGCACAAGGCTGCGGCCCTCAGTAAACTCAGATTCATCTGTTTGCTCAGGCACTGACTCATTCCTCCAGCACTTATCAAGCGTCCTTTTATCCACTCGGCAGATGGTGTTTGAGCACCAGGCATTTTTCTAGGTCCCAGGGTTACGACAGGAGCAAAGCAGACAAAAACTCCTGCCCCGTGGGACTTACAAACGGTAAACACAGTAAGCGAAGTAGAGAGCATATGAAGTAGTGGTGAGCGCCACGGGGAAGAGGAGAGCAGGGAGAGGCGATAGGGAGTTCCGGGGTAGACTTTAATTTTAGATAAAACGTTACTTTATGCCGGGCCATTGATACGATAGGGAACAGGTACAGTGGGGCACTTAGAAGTCAGTAGTGATATGGGGCCAGCAGGTAGTGTGGGGGTTAAGGGTGCTGGACTCCCACATGGCCAACTATGGTTCGAGTCCCAGACCTGGTGGCTTGCTTTCTCGCTTTCCCTCTCCCTCTATCTCTCTGTCTCTCTTCGGTCAAATTGAATAATAATACTGATAACAAATAAAAAAATTCTTAAGAAAAACCCAGAAGTCAGTAGTGATAACACCCTTTCCCCCCTTGAGCAGAAATGTACATAGTCTATTACAGTATTAGAAATACATTCTTTTGTTGTTATTTTAAGGATTATTTATTTATTTTTATTTATTATTATTTTTAAGTTTTCTATAGGGCACGTGTGCTCACCAGAGAAAGAGAGAGAGAGGCAAAATAAAGCAAGCTACCAGGTCCAGGACTTGAACCAAGGTTGGCCATGTGGGAATCCAGTACTTTAACCACCATGCCACCTGATGGCCCCTAAAAATACATTCTTAGGGTCAGCTGGTCCTATGGTGGTTAAGGTGCTGGATTCCACATGGCCGACAGCATGGTTCAAGTCCTGGACCCCACAGCTTGAAAAACACACCAGGTGCATGTGCATGTGTGTGTGCCCAAAAGCCCCAGAAGAGAAGGGATTGTGGCATGGCCATTCTCCCTGGGGGGAGATTTATTACTTGTCCTCTCTCTATATATTTCTTTTTCTCCAGCAAGTGCATACACCCTGTAGCAAAATAAAATAAATAAATAAATGTTAACTTACAGGGAACTTTATAACAGATGGTCAGGTTAACCACCCCTGAAACCACTGATAAATCTTAGTGTCAAAGTAGAACCCTGGACAGTGTGCGCCTCCTGCTGGAAAGCACACACACCACCATTTAGAAAGCCTTCTTGAAAAAAGAGCAAAGGAATCTGGGTCTAATAAAGTCCTGGATCTTTCTATAAGTTGGAATGCATATGGAAGCTGGAGGCTCACTTTAAATAGCACCACGAGGGGGACCAGCAGTTAGCGTAATGGCTATGTCGCTGGACTCCCACGTAATCGACTGCGGTTCGAGTCCTGGACCTGGTGGCTTGCTTTCTCACTTCCTCTCTCTCTCTGTCTCTCTCTGGTCAAATTAAAATAAATGAATGAATAAAAAATAAAAAAAAAAAGAGAGTCAAATACCGAGTAAATGCAGTGCCTGGATTCTGATTTGAACTAACCATAAAAGACCTTTTTGTGTATGATATTGGTGAAGACTGAGCCTGAACTGAGTATTAGATAAAATTAAGAAATTATGTCATTATAATGGTATTGGGGTTATGTATGGTTTTACGTCCTTCTCCGCTAAAAGTATTTCCTGACCTATTTCTGGCTGAAATAATATGATACCTAAGATTGGCTTTAAACTTCTCCCGACCCCCCAACATGGAGGCAGGACGGGACGTAAGAAACACAACAGGCAGAATGTTGCCACCTTGTTGAAGATGGCTGATGGAGACACACGGATTCACTATACTGTCTTTCTCTACTGAGTGTATGTTGGAGATTTTTCATAATTAAAAGCTAAAATTAGGGGCCAGCCGATGGCTCAGTGGGTAAGGGACTGGATTCCCACATGGACAACTGCACTTCAAGTACCAGACCCAGTGGCTCGAAAATCACAATGGGCCAGCAGGTGGCATAGGGGTTAAGGTGTTGGACTTCCACGTGGTTGACAGCAGTTGAAATCCTGGACCCAGCCCCTTGAAACTCATGCCAGGTGCGTGTGCATGAGTGTCCAAAATCTCGAGAAGAGAATGGAGAAGGGATTATGGTATGGCCATCCCCCTGGAGGGTAATTTCTCGCTTTCAAGCTAGCAGGTCCAGAACTCAAACCATGGTCGACATGTGGGAGTCCAGCATCTTAACCACTATGTCACCTGCTGTCCCCCCCCCCCCGACTCCATTTTGAAGATGAGAAAACTGAGCCCCAGAAAAGGAAGTTGCTACTGTAGATGATATCTATTGCTTTGGACTTCCCAGCACCCCTTCCTCTACCTCTCGATATAACAGGCTCTCTCTTTTAGATACTGCTCCTCACCCCATCCTCCATGTGGTCACCCTCCCTCCTCTTTTTTTGCCCCAGCTGGGCAATCCTGGGGCTTCCATTACCATCACCTGCCAGGTGCCATGAGCTCCGGGCCATGCCAGAATGCCTGCTCGGAAAGTCTGGACAGGAATCCCTTCCTTCCTGGTTCCTAGGCTGGGAGGGAGAGCCTTGGGTGGGACCAAGCCCAGAGCTTATGGAGAAATCACGTTGGCAGAAATCTCATTGACAAAAACCATGTGAAAGTGGAAATGGCTCCAGGGCCTAGCTCAGCCACTCTCCTACAGACCTAGTGGCAGGGCCAGTGCCTGCATACATCCAGGTTGGACTTCTGTCACTTACAAACAAAGAATACCCTGGCCTAACCTCCCTGCAAGAGAAGACACTTCACCAAGCTTGTGCTCTGCACTGAGTCTGTGCCGGGTCTGAATAGGCACCCGCCCCGGGGGGCGTTCATGGAGTCAGGCAAAGGAGACAAAGCCACGCAGTGTGTGCTATGGCCACTCAGGGCCTGGGGGCCCAGAAAGAGGAATGCTGATCTTGCTGGGGCAGTGCTAGGAGAGAAACAAGGCTTATGGAGAAGGTGATGCTGAGTCTGACCAGGAAGAACGGGACGGTTTCATTAGCTGGGCCAGATCTGGGGAGAAGGAGTGATGAGGACAAAGGCTCAGACATACAACCATGAGCCTCCGTGAGCGCGGGCATATGTGGGCGCAATAGGGAGAAGGGGGCCTTCCTGCTGGGGGCCTGTGAGCGCTGATGAGATATAGGTTGTGTGTGTGTGTGGCGGGGGGCTGTACCAATGCTCAGCAGGGTACGTTATCCACTCCTCCTTGCCTGGTCCCGGGGGCAGAACAGGGCAGGTTTGGTGTGTGATTCAAGCCTTCATGGTGAGGTGGAGGGACACTCTGTCCAGTGCCTGCCCTTGTCCTTCCCCAAGCCTGTCGTAGGAGCAGGAAGAACAGTGAGACCACCAGAGTAGAATCCCTGTTGGCCAGGCACTCAAGCACCAGCGCGAGGGGAGGCTTTGACCACCAGGACCCAACCAGGCACGCTGACCCCAGCATCAACTCTAGGGCCACAGAAGCCCTGGTGCCTGGGAAATAGGAACGCATCAGTCCTCCTGACCCTCTGGCATGGGTTGAGACGCCCGGATGCCTACCCCATGTTCGCCAGCCACTGGTGACTGATAAGGTTTTAATGTTTCCTGCCTGAGCTTTCCCTGAGCCTGCAGGGAACCGGGCATTGAGACTGTTTGCTAGGCCTCCATGTGTCTGCATGCCCTTTGCAGAAAGGCAAATGGTATCGGCCCAGTTTCACAGACAGGCAGCATACAGCCGAGGGGACCACAGAGCAGGCAGAGGGCTCTGGGAGCCCAGGGGGAGGCACCTCTGCGGTTGATGGAGGGATGCTGAAAGCTTTGGGGAGAAAGTGGTATTTGATCCGAGTTTGAAGGATGAGCCAGATGTTCTCAGGTGAGAAAGAGAAAAGGAACTTTCCAGGCAGGGGAGACCGAAGGGCTTAAGCTCCCTAAGGGTGAAGCATCTCCAGAAACGGTCAAGTCCCCTCCCAGACCATGGAGTGCTCAAGGGACGCAAGAAACTGAGACTCCCCGTTACCTAACAACTGGAGCCAACCCTCAGGGGCACTCGGTGCCGTCATTAAAAACCGATTTTCCTGGGCTGGCAGTGGGAGGCAGAGCAGGCTCTTGGGACGAGAATAAAGGCTGCTTCTGGGAAACACCACTGAGCATTCTCTCCGAGCATTCCCTGCGTCCTTGGTAACTGCAGCTTAGTAAACCGCTCAGGCCCTCGGTTTCCTCATCTGCAAAATGGGGGACTCACATCTTGAGGTCTGTTGTGAAGATGAAATGCTACCACCCATGTAAAGCACCCAGCACCCAGCAAGCACGCGATGCAGTGTCTTCCCCCAGCTCGGAAACAAATACAGCCTCAACTCAGCCAGGCTCCTAAAAGGGCCTCCTGCTTTCTCATCTCCCACACAGAAACGTCTGAGACCCTGGCTGCTGCCTGCTCACCCTTCCCCCCTCCTACAGAGTCCCACCTGTCCCCAGAGCTCTTACCTTCCATGGCTTGGGCCCCAGGGCCTGGACCCAGCAGTGCCACGGCCAGTAGCAGACAGGACCCCAACTCTACCAGCATCTCCTCTCCAGGGTCCCCACTGCGGCAGAGCTCGGCAGGCCAGGAACTGAGGGTCTCCAGCAGAGGAAAGAGAGGTGAGCCGAAAGGGCCTCTGAGTTAATGGTGGTGTGAATAATTCATCAGCCCCTCGAATTAGTAAGCTGATCCCCGGGTGCTTCCTTAGCTCCACTCGAAGGTGCTGGATCTGGTGTCACCAGGTTTACACATTCTGAGATCTGCACTGGCCCCAGAGCTGCAGGAAGGAAAGCAAGCTGGGCCTGGAAGGAAATTGGGCAGGGGAGAAAGGGCATAAACATCGGAGCCGGGATCGACCCCAGTTCAGCCTCTCACCTGCCAGGTGACCTCGAATAAGCCATTTAGCTCCTCTCGGTCCTGGTCCTCTCCTCCGTGCAGCAGAGACATTCAGCCTGCCTCGAAGGCTGTCATGAAAATGAATGCGCTAACACGTGCTCAAGCCCATAGGAGGTGTTCGCTATAGGATTTTCCTAGTCCCCACCCCAGAGGGAGCTGAAAGGGGAGAGATGACACCAGCCTTCGAACACAAGGGAGGGCGAAAGAGGTTGTCGTGCACAGTTTTGAGGGATGAGTCTTTTTCATGGAAGAATGCAGCGGGAAAAACGGAATTGGAAACCGTATCATGTAACTCCTCATGCGGTCACGGATCTGGGCCACAGCGTAAATTCTGGCCAGGAATATGACAATGTTCACTCCTTCCCTGAACCACAAGCTTTACTTGAACATCACATGTGCCAGGCCCTGTGCTAGGAGCTGGCTGCAGCCCTCGAGGGCTCCGTGGCCAACACTCCAACATGCATCTGCTGGGACTCCTGATTTGCTTTGGTTCAGCCCAACTCGCCTTGCAAGCTCCTCTATCTAGGGCCTGCCCCAGGCCCAGGGGCTTCAGAGGGAAAGGCGGCACATCCTGCCCTCCCAGTGAGGCGCCAACTCTGGCTTCTGACAGGCTTAAGGAATGAATCCTGCTGTACCGCTGCCTGGCTGTGGGAGCTGGGAAAGTAACCAACCTCACTGAGGCCAGCTTTCTGGATTGTGAAAGAGGAGTCACAGTGGAAGCCTGGGGCCATCTGGTAGCATGGTAGTTAGGCAGCTGGATTCCAGATGGCCAACTGTGTGGTTTGAGTCTTAGACCGGATGGCATGAAAAACATACCAGGTATGTGCACATGCCCAAAATCCCAAGAGGAGAATGGAAGAAAAGAGATTGTGGCATGGCCATTCCCATGGGGGTTTCTCACTTTCCCTCTCTCCCCCTCTCTCTATCTCTGTCCATCGAGCACGCATGCCCTGTAGCAAAGGAAAAGAGAAAAACGTAATAGAAGTCTGCAATTTGCTGTGAGGATTAAATGAGATAATAGTTGGTACGTCTTAGACAGTGCCTGACTCGGTGTATAGGAGTGCGTATGACTTTCATTTATCGTAAAGAAGCCCAGGCTTCCACCTGCCAGACCACAGCTTGCCTCGGGCCCATCCTTTTGTCAGAAAGTCTGCAGGGAGCCCTTTGCTGCCAGTAGGAGAAGCCTTCTGGAAGGTGTTCAGCAGAGAGCATCAGGAGCGGTCGGGCCCAGGGCCTGGCCTACCTGTGGGCCCTGACTGGCAGGAGAGAAAGGCTGTCCCAGATGGTCTGAGGAGATGGGGGCTTGGCAGAGAGGGAGGCAGAGGGAGTTAATCCCGTGCCTGCCTAGGTGCTGGGTGTAGACTCCTGACTTTCATAGCACACGTGTACTTCCTGTTTGACAGACGAGGGAACTGCAGTACCAATGGTTCGAGGCACTGGCTCTGCTTGAGTTTCCCTGCAAGAAGACCCTATGATGGGTAGTTTATCTGGGAGGCGATCCCAGGAAGTGTGGTAGGGAAGGGAGAGCAGATGGGAAAGATGCCAACGGGGGTGTGTTAGTGAACAGGTTGTCCCTGCCATCAACTGGGCTGAGCCCAAATGAGCACCTGCAGAAGGCAGTGTGGACCGTCCTCACCCCAGTCCACCTGAGGGATGCGGAGGCAGAGAATTCTCCTACCAACTCCCAGCTGCCCCGGTAGAAGGCTCCTCTGAGGGCATTCTCTTCTAGCGTTGTCAGCTCACCTGTGCATGGCCCGGAAGCCTGGAGGTGGGAAGCCCGGCGGCTGCTGGCAGGAGCTGCGGGCATTGTGGGGATGGTGAATGCTGAGGGGTGAGGCCCAGGCTGCAACGGCACCTGCCCAGCCATCCGTAATGACCTGGGCCTGCACTTCCGGGCTCAGCCCCTCTCTGAAATGTTCTCCTCACTGCCTGGAACCACCACCTCTCTTCCTGCCACTGTCTCGCAGCCCCGCCATGGTAACCACCATGAGAGCCCTCGGGCCTCATCACTGTCCCCAAATTCGCTTCTCCTCTGGTGCTTCCTGTTTCAGGTAGTGGCACAATGAACCCACTAAACCCAAAATACAGGGACCCATCTCCTTTCCATCAACCACCCATCCTTTAGTCAGAATCGAGTATGTCCCCACCTTTGTCTCTGAAGTGACTTCCGGACCTTCTCTACTGCAGAGTACGGTCTCTCCTGCACCGTCTCAGCCTCCTCACTGGCCTGCCCCTGGTCCACCCCAAGACCACTCTCTGCTTTGATCCTTCCAAGATGTTAATTGGACCATGCTGGCTCTCTGCTCAGGATCAGACCCCAAGTCCTCTGCTTGGCATTCACACCTCTTCAGGACACCTCCCCAGCACAACCACCCCCCCCTCAAACTTTCTCCCCTTCTCGAGCTCCATAGCCCAGACACCTGACAGGTCTCTCACTTCTCTGTGGGCTGTGTCCGGGGCCAGGGTTGCCCTTCTTTCTGCCCCTAGATGGACTCTTACCCAACCTTTAAAACCATTGTCACCTCCTCCAAGGGCCTGTCCTGACCCCATCTAAACCAGAAGAATCCCTCCCGGCGGGGCACACCCCCAGCTCAGGGAGGATCCCCACACGTTGGCTGCCTGCTGGCTAGTTTTCCCGAGGATCCCCTCTGTCGTCCTTCGCTTTCATTCAGTATACTGCCCGGGGCTCAGCCCAGAGCTCACCTCTCACTCTCTGTCCCCATGGCCTCCCCTGGCACATCCTCAGTGCTCAGGAGTCACTTAGGAACTGAACTGCCAAGAAGTCATACGAGGTGTCCTTGTTCACCTGTGCCTACCTCTGCCATCTTCGTCCACCAAAGCTGCTGGAACAGGTTCCGTAGCCTGTGGCTTATAAACAGCAGGCCTTTAGCTCTCACGTTCTGGAGGCTGGGGAGTCCAGGGTGAAGGCAGCAGCAGGTTTGCATCTGTGAAGACCCACCGTCTGGTTCAGAGATGGCGCCTGGACACGCTCATGTGGAGGAAGGGGCGGAGTCTGCCGGGGGTCTCCATAAGGGCGCTAATCTCACCCATCAGGGCCCTGCCCTCATGGCCTAATCACCTCCCCAAAGGCCCTGCCTCCTAATTCCACAGCCTGGAGGCAGGGTTTCAACATACAGATTTGGGGGGACACGAACATCAATGAGTTCAGTTTGGAAGTTGCTGATTTGGAGGGGCCCAGGGCCCTGTGGCAGTTACCATGGACGGGGTGTGATGAGAAGGCTGCAGGAGAGTGGCCGGGACGTTCAGAGGTAGCGCCTGCTATGGAGAGGTAGGAGGGCCGCGGTCATGGCGGGGCAGGGAGCTCTTAAAAAGGACCCACGGGGGCTCACCTCTGTGCGCTGGCAGTTACTGGCAGTGAGAACCTGACCCAGTGCCTCTTCCTCCCCCACCTGCGTCCTGTCTGTGGGTGAGGAGAGTGGTGTGCGCCCAGTGGGCACGGGGAGGGCACGCAGCAAAGCGCCAGCGCGCCAGTGCACGGGGAGTTCCGATGCCTGTCTGCCCGCCCCCTGTGCTCTGCCTGAGCGAGAGCCCATCGCACCTGGAAGTCACCTCTGAGTGGGGCCTCCTGCTGCCTGGTTGCCCCTCTCTCCAGCCAGCAGCCTGGCGTGACTTCTCACCTGGTCCCCAGGGGAGGCAGTAGAGAATGAACAGAGGCCGCCCGCCTGCCAGGGTCATCGGGGAGTGCCCGAACCACCTGCAGGACCAGTCAACCCTGAGCGCCTGAGTGCCAGGGCCCTGTCAGGCTGACTCACATGGCTGAGCTCAGAGGTCCCACACTCAAACCTCCGGGGGGATCATGGCATAGAGGGCCCTCCTCTCTATGGCTGGCTGGGCAGTACCCCAGAGCCAGTGGGCACGGGGGTCTCCCCGACCAGGCCTGTGCCCTGCCAGCCTGTCAGTATGCTCCTGGAATGAACGTGGTCCCAGGTCCCGAGATGCATGCTAACATGACCTGCCTGTTTGTGTCACTGCACACACATGTGCACCTGCCTCTGGGAGTTCATGTGTTGGCATCTGGTCATGCTATTTCCTCAGGTACATGAGCTCATCCTTTTTTTTTTTTTTTTTTTTTTTTTAAGGTTTTTGCCATGGGGCACATGTGCTCATCAGCAAGAGATCGAACGAGACAGTGAGAGGGAAAGTGAGAAATCACCTCCCAACGGGGATGGCCACATCGCAATCCCTTCTCCTCCATTCTCCTTCTGGGATTTTTGAGCACACATGCACATGTGCCCAGTGTGATTTTCAAGACACCAGGTCTGAGACTCGAGTCACAGTCGACCATGTGGGAGTCCAGAGCCTTAACGACCACGCCACCTGATGGCCCCAGCCCCATCATAATGTCTCTCCATTGGGAGAGACTACTTAGCGTCTCTCTGTGGGACTGTCCTTTTCCGAGTGGGAACAAGCCCTGGGTGACTGCACCTACTGTGGCACACCCGTCTGTTTCTTTGCACACACATCTCTGTGCACACACAAGGGTTGCATGGCACTGCTGTCTCCACGTATGCACATGTCTCCCTGCATGTCTGTGAATGCATGTCTAGATCTGCATGTTCCCCTGCTGCCTGCCTTTTTCTCTCTGTTATATACAAGGATTTCTGAGAGAATGTCCTCCCTGGGCGTAT